GGAACCGAGGATCCGAATGAATAGAAATGGTAGTGTAGAAGGTTAGGATCTGAGCTGAATAGAATTAAACTGTGCAAGATGGTCTCAACAAGCTTCACTGAGTACCATGTGGTGTCCGCATCAAGCCAAACTGCCCCTTTATTCCATACCACCTATATTTTATTTAAATATCTTAATGCAATATTCCATTATTTAATTTGACAAGTACTCCTTCAAAATTTTCTTTTTAGTATGGAAATGCCTGAAAAGGGTTTTCAATCACTAAACGGGTTAGGCCGCTAAAGGAATGTAGCGCAAAAATGTGCACATTAGGGTTGGAACCCATAACCAATCCTCTAATCATATTGTTTCCCGGGCTGACGAAAAATTTAAGATTGCCTGGTAAAATCTCCAGGTTTTCCCGGACAGGAACTCACTGTGAAAATTTTTCCTTTAGACGGGACGTCTGTCCTCCGCAACCTCTGTCTTCTTTATCGCTCTTTTCCTGCCTACCCACCTGAAAAGTGACTTCATTGTGGGTGGACAGTCTTCTTCCCTACTCCTGCTCCCCCTTTTCCTCACTGAGCCTAACACCTGACAAGGGGACTTCCCGAGGTTCCCACGAATTTTAAATGACAAATACTGATCGTTGTTAAGGAAGGAGCACGCGAAGTGATATCTGGCTGGGGAACCTCTTTCCTCTTTTTTTTCCTGCTTCCTCTTTTCCTTCCCTCCTTCTCTCTTTCCTCTTCCTTATTTTGCTCCCTTCAAAAGCTCGATCAGAAGACACGAGGTGAAAATATCTCTGGATCTTCCCGACGAGAAAACATTCGGTTGACAGAAGACCTGTGGCGTATGTGATCACAGACGGAACACCATTGATGCTTCAGCTACCGTATCCCGTTGTTCACCGGAAGTGGTGGTGGGGCGGACAACAGATGCAAAAGCGCATGTGTCGTCGCGCTGGGTGATGTTTGTGTGTGTGCGTCTTCTAACAAGTTGAACGTGTTCAGCATGGAAGAACACGTTCAATTACGGTGCGTGAACGTGTGTGTGTTTGCAAGAAAAAACGCGTTCACCGCAACTTGGCCACGCCCTTCACTTCCGTTTCCGAGTCGTCGTAGTAGATGTCCCTTCACGTCCGGTCTATCATCGTTCCTTCTTTCTTCCGTTACTCTTCCGTTTTCTTAAGGATTCCTTTGCTGAGTTGTCTGTTTCTACTCAATTTTTGTCAACTTCCTATGAGTTGGGCCCAAGTTCTAGCTCAGTCCAGGCGTTTGCCCATAATTCAGCTCTTTCTGAATAGTCTCAAGTTTAACGTTTTCTGATCGTTTTCTTGTTTTCCAGTCATGTCTAGTAGTTGCCTAGGAATTTCTTTGGTCCTAATTCAGCGCATCTGGCGAAAAGTACCATGGGCCATCCTCTTGGCGCACCTTTGACGCTTGTGCGCGAATTCTTTTTCCTGGAAACGACACGATCCCAAATCCATCCAGAAAAATGGTCTATTGCACGTACTGCTTTCTAAGACGCCATCGCGGCAGGACTCCTGGGGCAAGGCGCCTTATCCGTGGGTCGAGGGGTCGTATTTTTTACCACCGCAGGTAGGGAGAATTTTTTCCCGAATTCGTGGGCGCTATGTACCCGGCCCCCCCCTTCAATTATGCAAAAACTCTTGAGAGTTTAACAGTTTGGCCAGCGTGTTATCAGAATAGGGGGAGTCCCTGACCGGAATACTCTGCTTTAGGCGTCGTCCTGAACACGAGCCCGTACCGTGACGGGGCTCCTTCATCCCTGGAGAAATTTTTCCGACTGAGAGGAATGCTTCTGTAGAAAGGTCCTGCAGAGTCGTGTCCTCTCCTAGGCTCGCGCTCACACCAATCGCTCCGATATGGTTGTACCCACGAGTGGTGCATTTGGCCGGTGTGAAATACTTGATTACGCGCGTGTTACGTCGAGGCCCCCGCTACATACTCTCCTCCGAATCGTGGTGGAGTAGTTCTACTACCCTGTTCCTCACCGCAGATCTGTTCTCTTCAGAGTCAAGTCGCGGCCATTGAGGAAAAATTTTGCACCTCCCCTGGTGCGACCCCCCCCTCCCTCCCACCTTATCGACTATCTTGCTAGATTTTTCATCTTCCCACCACTTTTTCCTCAAAAAACTGGCGGGAGGGGAAGATTGCACTTAAACCGGAAAGCCCAAGAAAAAGTCAACAATTAGAAACATTTTTCTCAGGACAAATGATCTCCCTTCTTGAAACTACCAAATGCTTGCTTCAGTTCTCCAAGGACGTGCGTTGTTTCCCCACCCCCGCCGCCACCCCACCCCCGCCCCACTCACTTCAGCTTCAACGATTTGTGAGGAAGGTCGTCGATATTCTTTGGAGAGGATTAATCTTCGCAATATCGTGCCGGTGCTGGAAGGAATTCACGCACGGCCGCTTTCGTCTGCGCCCCCGCCCGCCCCCCGAAAATCGTTTCGTTTCCCAACCGTCTCCTAGCCCGCGACTCGTGATATATCCCACATTAAGTATCGACCTCTTTGTAGTGAGTGCGCTGCACAATCCTCCATCCCCCCCACCAAACCGCTCATTTTTGATGCGCTTCGAATTGAGCACATGTGTTTCCGGCACCGGCCCGTAGCCACAGCTGTGAGGGGGAATGCCGTTTCGTTTCGTTGATCGAAAAAATGTGCCTGGTTGTTGTTGTTGGTAGATGGTGGCGGTGCAGGCGCAGTTTTAATAGGAAAGGAGACGATTGCGCTGCGACGATCATGTGAGACCCTAAGCTGTCGTCGAGTTTTTCTTCGCGTTCTTAAACGCTTTTCTGACCGACAACCAGCGAGCGGTGCGATTTCGTACCACCACCATAATCATAATCGTCATCATCGTTGATCCTCCCACCACTGTTCAAGGCGGAGGCGTTGCTGCTGTTCGACGAAGTGTCGCTCTCGATAGGATATGATTAGAACGCGTAGTGTCAGTCACCCATCATATCGGCACTACGGTCGAATACTGTCATCTTTTCAGCGGCGCGTAGGGTTCAGGGTCCGCAATGGGAGGTCTCCCGCATGGGTACATCGTCCTTGAGGAGTCCTTAGCAAGGGGAAGGGTACAGTCAGGCGACGAGGGGGGGGGGTTTTGCACTTTTGCTGCTTCACTAGTTCCGTTTACAGGTCTCACTGTGATGGAACCTGTGAACTCGTGTAAAGCTGAAGTTCGTCGAGCGAGCATGGTGAAATTTGTCAACTCTTGTACGCTCACAAAATGGCTCTCTAGATGGGTCGACACGTCGATGGAAAGTAGCAAAAGTGCAAATGCCCCCCCCCTTCGCCCTCCGTCACCGAACTGGTTCGACGGCTTGCTGGAATGGATGTGGAAGGGGCTCATCGATAGTACGGGGGTTATCGAAATCAGTGCAGGTCCTGCCGTTGGAGAAAAAAATTTTGCGTTTTACGCTCACTCCCCGCCCCCTTAAAATTTCCCTTCCCCACCTCATTCCTGAGTTCTAATAGCTTCCTTAGCTTTTTCCTTCCTACCACTTTTTCAGATTATCCAAGATTGCTTTCCTAGAATCCTTCGGTGAAAACTGCCGTCGAGTGGGCGAGCGGCGACGGTGGGTGGGGGGGGGGAAGGGGAGGGGAAGCGGGAGGGGTGTGAAAGGGACATGTAGCTGTAGCCATTGAAATATGAACAACCAAAGACACGACCACCCCCTCTCCTCGTTCGACCGAGTACAACCTACAGCAGGGGATCTCCAGTGTAGGACGTACCCCGTTTAGAGACCCGCTAGCTAGTCAGTTGTGAGCCATTTCTATGGGCGCAAAGTCAAATCCATCAAATTTTGCTTTCACTTAAGATGGATGGCTCGGTGTGAAGTTTTTCTGGTGAGAATTTGTGATCGTAGGCCATCGTGAACGTCTCTCAGAGAATTCTCTCATTTCATGCCTCTAATCTGATCTTCGTCCTCGCCAAGGCTTACAGGAAATCTTGAGAAAGCTTCTCATGCACCGCTTTTCCGGGAATCCGTTTGCCCTTGGTGATGCCTTATGGAAATATTTACGATAGCATCACACCTATGAGTTATGCATAAACAGCGATAATTCGCTGATGTTTGATTGAGCGGCCCGGAAAGCTTCATCATCTTTCCGTTTTTCCTACTGGCTTTCTATGGCCGGACATGTGGTAGCCAGTTTCTCCTAATCGAGTTGTTTAGCCCGCCCCTTTTTGATATCCTGCAAAACTTCCGGTGCAGTGAATGACTAATATCATCGTGAGAAACCTCTGTCTATCCGTCGCCGTTCGTGTGACATTTGTTGAATGAGCGCTGGTGTTGATGCCTCAGCCGTGGCGGAAGCAATGATTTTGGAGGCCCGATTAGCTGACAACGTTGGCGAGTTTACACATGTAAACTCCACCCACCTGTTCTAGCTCCGCCCACCTTTTTCGGACATGTCCTGCTGTGTTGTAATAGTTCACGCATCGGCGCTAATCTTTTATAGGTCCGAACCTCAATGGGTCATTGGTACGTCTCAGGCTATGTCATGACATCGCTTGACATCTCGTGACACATCGGTGACCAGGAAATCGCGCTTTATGACACGCCAGCTTTTCAATTTTTCTAGATTTGGACGGAATTTAAAGGCGGGGATGTGGGTCATCGCCCATCCGGGGAGGAACACGGGTTTGCGAGAACCCATTCATTTATTTAAAAAAAGCTTTTGGGACTCCCTGAAAGCAGGCGCACCTATCACTTGCCTAGTGTCTGGTTTGGAGGGGGCGTCTCTTGAGAAGAGGCATCTGCTAACGCGTGTCATATTGGGACTGACTAGCGCCCTAGTCATTCGCTGCTCATTCTCTCAGAGCATTCTTAACTACAAACATCTAAGTCCTTCTGATTTCCTCCGCCTACTAATTTTTTAATCTCATATCTCCGTGTTTTCTGCGCTCGATCGATTTTTTCGTGATACGGTAGGAATGTAAGTGATCTACAGGAACAGCACGTGAACTCGGTGGTATGAGACAATGTTGTCTGCACATCTGTGTTGTTGCTGTCCTCAATCGCCACCAATCACACCATCGGATGTTAAAGTACAAATTATTTTTTATTTTCAAAAAAAAAATGAAATTTTGGCAAATTGGATACGAGTAGGGAGGAGGGTGGAGTTCAAAGCACTCTTTACTCGGTGCAGTTCTGAGCCACCTTTTAGAACTTTTCGCAATCGCTCAACCTTCCCGGAGCTTCGTCTCTCATCTCAGAGTAGAGTATCCATGATGGCCATTTCAGTACCACAAGGAGTCCTTCAACAGCCCCACCCCCCCTAGCCGACTTGCGCCTAAGGAAATTCTTGAAAAGGTTATTTGAGTTAGAAGGTAGCTTTTTCCATTTAATGCACGATTTCATTGTCCCGAAAACAGAGCGCGCCCGAAACTGGGAACTTGGAGGTCAAACGTAGATACCACCTCTCACCCTCCCAAAGATACGAATACGCCATTTCCTTTTGTAGGATCCTAGAATCTTGCCGGCCAGGCATACTCTGTCAGGAAAGGTATCGTACCAACCAGAGCACGTCTTGTCGTTGGGGTGAAGTTTTGCAATGTACCCGAGCCCCCTCCCACCCCCCCCTACCCAAAATTCCTCCTCTGTGCGATCGCCGTACCCATTCAGCATCCTGCCTGCCACCGTTTTCTAGAACTTTCTGAACTTCACACCGCTCACCCCCGACTGTTCTGGAAATTCCCCACTTCCTCCCCCCCCCCCCCTTTCCCTCTCCCCAAGGAGCACTGCGCCGTCGACAGGTGGAGGGGGTTGCACACGTGCAAGGGGAAAAACCGAGAGAAGTCAAAATAAATGAGAACCTTCTTTCTACGACCCACGTGAAACGGGAAAAACCGGGAAACCTCAACAACCGGAAAACTTTTTTTCCACGGCTCACGTGAAACGGGAAAAAAGGAAGAAAAATAAACAACCAAAACCTTTCTCAGATACAACCCTCCCCTCCCCTTTTTTCAAATACTTTCCCTCGAGCCACCAAATGTGACCCCTCTCTTACTCGGGCTCCCACTGTACAACGTGCCCTAGCACCAATGCCCCTTCGAGTTGTAAGCTGCCAAAGCTCATACATGCAAATGAATAAGATCTGTATTAATAATGAAATGATTTATTGCGGCCGGAATTGTTCGTCAAGCAGGGTGCGCAATTGTTTGACTTGTTATCGATGAAGGCCGTCTAGCACCGGCCGGTTGCGATTGGTGTACAATGTACTGAAGTAACAGTCATCAGATCTGAATGATTTCCTTCAAAAACACTAAATCAATATCACGAGTTCTTCCCGAGTAGGGTAAGGGGGGATGTGAACGAACGAACAGTGTCGCCGCCATCGTCGTCGACCATAGCGCACGTTCATGTGGCCTTGACATGAAGTGTTTTAAGGTACAGGTGTGACCTATCCGGTTACCCACTAGGCTAAATCAACATTTTTCGCCTTCGGAAGTGTCCAGCCGTTGACTCGTTTCGATCCTGTTCATACTTGTAAAGAACAGGGGTTTTGGAGTTTTTTCTTGCTTGATTTGATTCTGGCCCCGCCCCCTCCTGAAGGATCTTGTCATTGTCAACGGCTGTGTAATGCCGAGGTGCAAAATGTGGCTAGTGAGACTTAATCCCGGAGCTTTCATGGGGTTCATATATTTTTTAATTATATTTTTTTCAAAATTCGTATATTTTTTGAAATGTCATGATTTCAGGAATTCTTCGAGTCAATCAATCCGAAGAGCGACTTTAACAATGACGGCGATGCATTGGAGACGTACCTATACGAGAAATCGCTCAAAGTGCAGCCGAAGGAAGGCGATAAAATACCGGACGTGGTAAGTAGTTTTTTTGAGAAGTTTTCTCGATTTTGGCGCAATTCGGCTTGGTGGGGGCATCTTGCTGGTTCCCATTGGTCTCTACTGTTGCCTGCCGTAAAGACCTCTAGAATCATCGTTTACACTTGACAGTTGTCTACAGGTCTTACCACGGTAAGATGTGTAGACACAGGAACTAACAGGAGGAGCAGCGAAAGTGCAGAATGCCTCCCCCACGTCGGACAGCGCCTAGTTTTTTTTTATTTCTACTTTTATTTAATTATTAGTTTCAGAAGCCGAAACGTTCTCTGCACGTGCTGAAGTCACCAGGTATCAAACCACCGAAAACGAACCACTACACCAGCCATCATCATGCCGCCACCAGCTATAGCACCCAGTCGTCGACGGCACCCAGTACGCCGAAAGGTGATGGAGACGGGTGAGTTATAGTTTGCATAATTTAGTGAAATGAGGCTCTACCAGTAAGGTAGGGCACTTTGGTAACCTAAGCCCTCAATCTGATACTTCGGCAATCTTTTCCTTTTGTCAGTACCTTCGAGAGAAACCTAGTCCACTTTTAAGCGGAACTTTTGCACAACCCACTTTGGACCTCTATCCGCCCCAGACTAGACAGAAATTGCCGCTGTTTGGCTTGGGAGGGGTATTTTGCACTTTCGCTGGTTCCCTCTGCTAGTTTGACAGGTTTCGATGAGACGTGTAAACTCCTGTGAAGCTCCGAAGCTATATCTGGATCACATTGAATACTTTACAGGTCCGCCCAAGGTGGCCTTCTTAAGTACCGTTGGCTGCCCCCACCAAGCCAAACTGCGCCGAAATTTCTTTTTTATAATTATCATTTTCAAAGAGAAGAAGAATTCTGAATTGTGGTATCAACCTATGAGAAATCTCATCCATCTGGTTAGAAGTTTCGAGTACATTATTGCATAGATCGATGCCGCGATCGTTTCGGTACCATTTCCCACCGTCGCACGTCTGCCCGTACACTGTGTGGGCTCGTTCAGCGTTCAGTCGTTCGCTCGTTTGTTCGTTCGTCTCTTCCGGTGCGATGTGCGGAGCGGCGTCGTTGTTGGGATGATAGTGAAGTTACTCGTTCTCAATAACCAGTTCTTCGAAAGACGTATATTCATTATCATGCACGACGCAGCGGTAACGACGAACGACCGGACGCGACGCCGTCGTCGTCGTCGTTCATCTCCGCCATACCCCCCTGTCATAGGGTTTTCTTATGCTTTCCGCCTTAAGGCCTCATCCGTACAAGACAAGAAACGAGAAGAAGGTGCAAAGACTACTAGCTGGCGAAAGCTGCGGTAGTAGGAAGTGTACGTACGATTCTGATCGGAAGGCAGGCACCTCATCTTGTGTCATCACAACAGGGGGTCGTGCTATATGGCCCGTCCCGATGGAAGCTGGGGGGGGGGTCGTAAACCGCATAGGCCCATGTTGAAGCTGGAGAGAGCTGTTCATGAGCACTGGTACACAGTAAAAAAGAAGCTCAAAAGGGACGATGTAGATGACAATAAATAGAACTAGGCACTATCGAACTATTCCTAGGCCAAAAACTAAAAAAAAATATTGCTGAAACTTTTTCCTCCTTCCTCACAAAAAACTTCAAGACACTTCGCCCACCAACCCTCCTTCTGGTCCAGATAAATCCCAATCCGCAAAATCTAGAAAAAAATCCATTGCAAAAGCCACCTATGAAACCGTAGAAATTGAACCCTGAGCGATTTCCTCACAACAAAACCAAACTCAACAAAACAAAATCAAACACAACAAAAACAACAATTCAATATTAGTTCACAATCAAATTGGGTAGAAACAAAATTTCACCAGCCGGCCAGCTGGAACGCGATACTCTTGGATTACTTTTGAATTTTGGCTGTTCGCGGTCAGCGCGCTCATACAAGCGCATTGGTGCGCGCTATTTCACGGTTTGGAGCCAATTTCAAGCCAAACACTGTGAAAAAGTAACCTTCAAATTTGCCTTGAACACCATAACTTCGTGTGAAATGTTTGATAAGCTATCGGAGCAGGGGTAAGTGGAATAGTAGAGCTAGGTTGGCTCTTATCACCTGAATTGAGCTATTTCAAAAACGTTCCGGTTCCAGAGATTGTCCCCGTTGTGATCATCTTTGTGATCCATCTGTGATCATTTTTGCGAACCGCGAGTCGCTACGCTTTGGACGTCCATGGCAAGCTTCATACACGACCTTTCGTAAAAAAAGAACTGTGCCGGAAGCTTGAAGATTTCTACTTTCCAGCAAGGTTTTAATTTCCTTCCTAGACCTACTATTCGAAAAAAATTCCCCGTTGTGATCATTTTGTAATCACCCCCCACGACACCGAAAAATCAACCCCTCCTGCGGCGGGCCAGCGCAAACCCTTCCAAAGGGGTTGGCGGCTCGAAGAAGACTTTGGTATGCTTCTGAAACACATGTTTTCGTCAAGCATATCAGGTAATAGGCCATTGGGCGCCAATTGGCATCACATATGCAATGCGCCATGCATGGGGCTTTCACGCAGGTGTTTGAAAGGTGTAACTTCTAGATAGGGCTTCCCAATTGCAAGCAAATGTGCTCCTACGATCAGAAAGTCCGGGAATGTACTTTCATCTGTTTATTAATCGTCACGTCGTGAGTCCTCTTGTTTATAAATTCATGGGGCCCTTGTGGGCGGTGATCGTAGCTCCTATCATCGCCCCTTCCTCGTACGTATTGTCAGTATGCTACACCAGCGCCAGAGTGCTGGACGTGCTTGGGACGTACGTAGGTACTGCGACCCCCCACCCCGGAACTCGACAGGCAAAAATTTTGTAAAAAAAACCAGAAACTTTTGCGTGGAAAAAAAATAGGCAGAACGTGCGGAAGGAGGTTGGAAAAATCTAGGGAAGAGGTAACGTAGGGGGGTCGTCGTACTTGAAGATGGAATTAGGGGGGGGTCGTATTTTTCAGGAAATGATCACAACGCAATGGCGTGCCCTGTTCACCCTGCTGTTGAAGGACCGTAAAATTGATCCCAGATTACACAGCTAGTTCTGGACACGGTCTACGCCCAGGACACGTTCTGCGTAGGGGAATCCCCAGCGGGAAGTCGTATCTGATCGCTGGAGACAGGGGGGGGGTCGTTCTTGGTACAAGGAACTTTTTTCAATTGTCGTTTCCTTCTGTTTCACGGGCGCAGTTCACATCGTTGGGAGAATCCCAGTGGGGAAGGGGTCAGTCGTATCCGCTTGTCGTTGGGAGAGGGGATCGTATTCGCCTTTGAGAGAATTTTTTGTGGAAATTTCCTTTCCACTTATTGACTTTTTGTGATTCTTCCCCTTACAGTGGTGCTACATACACTCCCCTTCCCCACCCATCGCACCCCCTTTCTAGCTCGACTTCAAATTTTTCACGAAGAAGTTCCGGTATTGGGAAGCTTGGAAAAGTTGGGTCGCTTATGTCGGCAAGAGAGGCAGGTTAGTGGGTAGGATAGAGATGGGAGGGGCCGTAGCATAGGATGAAGGGGGGGGTCGTACTTTCTGAAAACTTTTCAGCGGTACGATGTACCGATGATGAGGACAGACATTTCGTGGAGGTATGAATGCTATAAATAAAAGAGAAAGGAAGACTGTCGGCTATGGCACGAACCTCTTGAACCAGCCCTTTCGAGGGGTGATCCTATTGGTGTAATAGCAGCTTTGTGAGCACGAGGTCTAGGTTCGAGTCCAGGCTGGGGTCAAGTCTTTTGCTCATATTTCGGCATTCCAGTGATAACTTCTGAAGGGAAATCGCGTACATCTGTGCGGGTGGTTGTCTGGTGAAAAGGTTGAGTGGAATGTGACCAAACGCACCCTCCCAGCAGTTCCACCAATAGCGCTGGCAACAGCCGTCCCCAGTATTGCCCACTGCCTTTACCAGACTAAAATCTATGCGGTTCTCCTTCAGAAGTTATCTTAAGGATGCTGAGATATGAGCGAACTATCTGGTCCCACCCAGGAATAGAACGTGGACCTTACGTTCATGGCGTTGTTTGCTAGCCATTGCACAACCGGGCCACCTGCCACCGTAACAACTGAAAATCGTATATGTCATAGGTGCCTGATAGCCTTTCACTTTATTTATGTCATTCGTTCATCCACTACATGTCTGCCATTAGGACCAGCTGCGTTGTCTGGGACGGTGAGCATTGGTGTTTTGGAGGGCTACCTGGAATGAGGACTATCATCAGCGGAACAACTGATCGCAGAACTTTACGGGACCGAGGTTCTGTCACATGCCTATCACCCGTGGAATGAAGTGAAACAAAAGCCAGCCAAATGATCAGTTTAAAAAAACAAAGCCCTGTTGGTGAGGTCAGATGATGAAGCCCCTTGGACAGGCGCCTTGCACTTTACCGCTCTTCAAAATCATGGGGATTCTCAATGAAAGGGGCCGATGCAGGCTTGCGTAATTAGAAATCGTGTGGAAATGAGTTTTGATAGGAGGTTATCTTTACAGAATGGGAGAAGCTTCGGGAGAATCGTTGACTTGTGGCAATACCAGGTTTGCACGGTTTTTCAAAAAAAAAAGCCAAAAAGTTTCTGTGCAGGACTTCTCCTAGGGGTACATGTCCTCGTCTTTGAGAGAGCAACATTTTGGGTAGGATCGGTAGTACATCAAGTTTACTCGCATTGATTCATTAGTGGTAGCGTACGCAGAGTACCGGACTTCCGGAGGGCAAAGTACTTGTAGTGGTGTAATTGTTACAACGTCACGAAATACTTCACGTGATTGCAGTGGTCTCAAGAGTTTCGTTATTGAAAATCAGGCCACATACACTCCTTATCCCTGAGCCAGAGTAGGCGTGGCATTTGAACATGGCACGGAATTGGTTACTCGTGGAATATTCCAGTCTGGGACAACTGTCATCTTGTTCTGTGTTGGACAGAGACACGACAACAGTTGTGTCAAGATGGAAATATTCCACCAGAAGCATAGACACCTTCAGGTTAAGTTGAAGAATGCAGCCACGCCTACCCGATCTCAGGGATTTCGAGTATAAGCACCTTCCCCAACAGTACTCTTTGAAGTGGACTTCCTGAAGTTGGAACCTGTTCTTGTTCGGACATGGCTTTTACTGGGGATCGAGGACGTAGCCTTTTACTAAAGCGATGGAAGTCTGATTGATAGGAGACTTCCTTAGTCGCCAAATATTTGACGAGCTTACTTTCCAGGAAGGGGAAGTCTGATTTGATTCCTTGGTTCCACCGGGATCAGCTCGGCTATCTATCCATCCGGAGGTCGTTCAGTGGAGCCAGACATGCTTGGGAGCATAAAGACAGATGAAGACATCAACCGGCGCTTGGACCTATTGTATAGACCAAGGGGCATTCGAATGCCATTGCGATCCAATTGAAATTAGAACATTGACGTATTTAAGCAGTGGGATCGACCAATATTAGCAGCTTCATCCTTTATCGACTTATTTGTTACTTGAAAAACTAGGGTTTTGTTTAACAAATTCTCGTCGATGCTTACAGCCCTGAGCCGTGTCAGGAGCGAGCCGAGTTATGGCGGGTGTCGGCAGTTTTCCACCATTACTCACCTGCGAGCTTCAAGAATTGGTGCGCGGAGAACGATGCGCTCAGCGCCAAACCCATCCCTCTGGACAACGCTCAGCATCCGCATCGAATAAAGACGTGTAATTGGCCGGTTTCTTTGAGCGATGCACAACCCCCCCCCTACTCATTAGTGTGGAATCGCTGAAGTATTGTAGGGTCTCACTGCTAAGGAGAGGTCAAAGTATGCGCTTCAATACGTCAAGTTGGTTTTCCAGGGCGCGAGCCATCGGTCCTAAACGCCTCCGACGTCGCAATGATGCACATTTCTCCCGCATGGTTCGATATCACACGCTGGTTCAGCATTCCGATAGATTTATATGGCGATGGCCAAGACGAACACATAAAATAGGTGAGCTTTTCCACTTCCACCCAAGTAGAATCAAATGGGGCTACAGTAAGCAACTAATCCATTTTCAGGCCAATTACAACCACCTCCGCTAGTTCCACGTAAAAGCACAGCAGTGGCAACGACCCGGTTACATGTTCCAATAGCGCCAACTTATACGACGTCACCGCACCTCAACGCCACCACCCGCTCATCTCAAGGCCGGCGCGCCAACGAAACTCGTCACCGTCAAATCGATCGCCTCAGACACCTGGTCGATTATCTGCAGGTTGGTTGGTCATGAAACTTCTGATATTTCAAGGTTCAGGCTTAACCGACCACTCCACACTGAGCCGGGAGTGGGCGGGATGAAGTCCTAACCCTGGTGGTACGCGCCTGTACGCTCTTCCAGCCATCTACGAAAAGTACTTTGAAAGGGACAAGTGTTAGGTCTAACTGCCTTCAAAGATACTGTTCGCTCCCTTCCTTTAGTCTGGGCGTAGGGATTGAGAAGGCTCTGAGCGCCAAAAGCGGGAACTGTGGATCAACTTCTCTTGTGATGAAGATCGATTGAGGAGATTGAAAGAAATTCATATTTTGAATTCTGAGGAAATTCTACCTTCACATACGGAGAAAATTCTACCCCATATTCCGCGATTACCTAGGAGTTTCACAACTCGACAGTGCGTGGCAAGCGAGCTAGAGGTTCCCGACGGCCAGATATCCCGCCCATACCAGCCTCAAACGCTCGTGAACGTTTCATTGCAGTTTGAGGAAAACTTGAACTTCGATAACATCACTCTTCTGCGCCCTCTCGTACATAGATCACTGTGACCTTACAACTTCCAGTTTTTCACGCGTAGTAGGTGACTCATCTGCCCCGGAACCCCATGGAGCAGCCCATCCCTGGCTTGCTGAATGGCCCTTTGCGCCTTTTGGTGCTTTCGCAGCAGTTGCGTACGCAATAGGGTTTCGCAATAAGACCACAAAAACAGAGAAGCAGAAAAGTTGAAGATGTCAGGTAACCCTCACCACATGCTCATCCAGTTCTGGAAAACAACCGGGTATTAAGTGGGACAATTTTGATGGCTTTTCCCTTCCGCAGTGGTAAGCCAGTTAGCGCTTGAAAGTTTTGGACTGGACTGAACTGCTCTTGCAGTAGCGAAATGTGGCTTTAATACTTCATAGTAAAGCGGTTAATGAAAACCAGTTACTCTTATGCGTCAACTGGTGGACAGTTCTTATTCGGTTGATGTTTTTAGACCACGCACCGTCCGCCTTTGTGTTTACGTCCGTGGACGCGCAACATTCGCCACCGCCTGCACTTCCTCCTCGTTTGTCGGCCTCGACTACACCTGCCGCTATGTCAAATAACGAGCAACTCCGAGTTGTGCTTGATAGGTAGGTCAAGAGTATTCAATATTTTTCAAGGCGCAATTCGGCGACGGGGGGCATTTTGCACTTTCGTTGCTTCACTAGTTCCGGTTTACAAGTCTCACTCTGGTGAAACCTGTGAACTCTTGTGAAGCTGGAGCAAGCTCGCCAACTCACCTGTCAAACCTGTTAATTCTTGTAAGCTCACGAAATGGTTCTCGAGATGGGCAAGACGTCTGTGGGAAACAGCAAAAAAGCTAAATGCCCCCCTCCGTCGCCGGACTGCCCCTTTTTTTGATTTTGGTCCCTTGAAAAAGTTGGTTCGGTACACAGCATATCCCAAAAAGATAGGGCGTGGCTGCGTACTTCATCTGAGCACAGCATAGAATTATTCTTCGTGGAATATTTCATCCCTAAGCAACTGTCACCTCGTCTTGTGCTAGACAGAGATGTGATCAAAATTTTGCAAAAGTAAAACAACCCTCTAGAAAATTCAAAAACAAAAACAACCCTCTAGAAAGGCCAGCTTTCGCCAAGTTCAAGAACTACGTAGCCACGCCCTCCCCATCTCCGAGATACGGGGTGCTACTCTCGTCAGCTTATTATTATCTGCTATCTTCACCTTTATAAAGAAGGCTAGGCTGTGAGGCTTACTAGGGATAGGTGATTTTAATCTCTTTAGTTGCGTTTTCTTAGGATAAATGACACAATATTTGATTGATCAATTATTGATTATTATCGATCGCAGCAGGCTGGATAAATTTCGCTTTTCAGACCGCCGAGCGAGTCTAATTCGCCAACAGTTCGTTTATCAGTGCCGTTACCACCAGCTTTACCGCCTCGTCGCGGTACAGCGGCTCAACAAACCCCGCCTCCTTTGCCACCGAAAACGTAGGTTTATCCGATTTATAAGGCTATTTACTTTTATTTACTACCTTCTAGTTACCTATACGGTATAGTATTGTAATGGTATTTATTCAGGCGTATGACCAGCAGCCCGTCATTACAACGTGCGGCTGTGCCACCACCATCATCACCGGACACACCGCCACCGTTGCCACCGAAGACCTATAAGACGCGAAAATCGAACGACAGTCCGACGACGTCACCACATATGTGAGCAGGATGTCGTTGTGACCGCTCTCGTCATCACAAGTCTGCGCCACTCCAGCAGACCGCTCTTTGTTGCCTGCGCTCAGTCCTTCAAAACCAAAAAACGTGGTAGTTCAAAAGATTTTGTAGTTGCGTGTTTCATATGGGCCCAGTCGTTCCGTGGAATGGAGGGCCCCATTCGAAGCAACGCTCTAGACATTCCGATCTCCTAGTACGTCAAGGGTTATCAGTTTCAGAAGTCTCATGAGTGAAATTCAGGCGTAGGTCAAGAGTTCCGAGTGGCGACATCGCGCGCGAAAGCCAGCCATCCTAGCTAGTTGACTCGGATATGTGACAAGGCAATCGTAATATGCCGCGCTGAGCGTGGCGAATGGCGCCGCGCATGCGAGAGGCGGGTTGTCCTATTTTTCCGTCTGAATTTGAACTTAAAAATGACGGGAACCTGGTAGCACTCGGCATGAGTTCCCTACTTCATTGCACATGAGTTCCGCTGCTCCAAATGACAAACCGAGGCACTAAAGTTGCAGAGCACCGCCGCCCGATGCGCCGCGCGCGACGGCGCGGCATACGACGATTGTCTTGTCTGTGTCTTAGTTGACTCGACCTAGCCGCTTGACGTCAGATCGATTGTGATGTGGCAGCCTATTTCCTTTGCCACCTCAGATTATTCACTTTTTATTAAATAAATTAATTAATAGTTCAACGGTTTTAATCACAGAACAGAGAGCAGTTCAACTAGGGGGGGGGGCGTTTTGCACTCTCGCTGCTGTCCCTTGACATGTCGAGCCATTAAAATAGAGACTCATGAAATCTTGTGAAGCTGAAGTGGTACCAGTCAATGTTTGAGGAAATTACTTGTCAGCTCTTATAAAGAATACCTGCCACTTGTAAAGCAAAACTCGACTGGGAAGCAGCGAAAGGGCAAAATGCCACTCCCTAGCCGAACTGCGCCTAAAAGAGCATAAACTCAATCAGTGTTCCTGTAAAGGAAGCGGAAGAAGGCAATCACCGATTGTCGAAAATTTTTAATAAGGCCCTTAAGTAGGATACAGGACGTAGACTGCCGTAATCTAATCGGTTTGGCGTTGAATTGCTGTGTCGAGTCAACTAGCTATGAGGGCGGGTTCGCGCGCGCGATGCCGCCGTTGGGCTCTCCTGAACTACGCTGCTGAATTTCTGACATCAGAAGCAACTCTGTATGTAGGATTGCCATTTCATCATTGCTCTAGTACAGACAAATATGTTTATCAGGAATCTCTCACTTTTCGGTGTTTTTCTTTGTTTTTGTTTATTGTTTGTTTATCAGTAAAAACGGCAGCGGCGAGTTGTCCTCGCCCGCTTGCTATCAAAAGCATCATCGCTATCCAATGAGTACTTTCTCACAGCACACGTGTTGATATGTAAGAAAATATACGAAAACCTGTGATATGTTCAGTTATTTGCGATTGTTTTCTTTATATTTTTCGTTTGATTCCATATTGATTGATGATTTCGCTTCGCCATGTTAGTTTGTGTAAGATGTCGTCAATGACGTCATCGTGGTGATGACGTCATGTCCGCGGATCTGTCAACGTTTTCCTAGTTGGTTTCCATTCATTGTGTAGTTGTTTATTTTTAAATTTCATTTCTTTCCCGTTTCATATGTTAATGTACACGATTTGTTAATTAAATGCATGATATTTAAATGAAGATCAGAAACCCAGTTTTTGTTTTGAAGATCCCGACGAGAATGGCGTCACCATGTACGGTCGTTTCTGAAAGAAATAGACTAAAGGGCACGTTCCGCTATCAAAAGTAGTAGGTGCTGGAATTGAAATACAGTAGTAATTATTCGATAATAAAAAGCAGAGAAAATGCCCGAAATGCCACCCAAAGGATGGCCCGATGCTGAGCGGGTTGTTGTGCCTGCATACGAGTTGCAGAGAGATGTTTGGACGAGTTCTCACGTTGCAAAAATCTTTTAAGGATATCAACCCCTCTCCCTTATCAACTTCTTCTTCTCCCTAGCGTTAGTCCCGCGCCGTGGCAGGGTCCGCTGTTCTTATTAGACGTCGCCACTTGTTCCGATCCACTGCATCTTCTGCTGTGGCTTTCACTTCAGTGAAGTCCCTTTTGATGACGTCAACTCCTATTCTTTGGGGCTCCTCGTGGTCGTGCCCTTCTACCTTCGTCTTCCCATGACTTCCTTATTGGGTGGTCTTCAGGCCTTCCCAGTACGTGCCATACCATCGCAGTCGCTGCTCTCGTGCCTTCAGCTGGATCGGAGCCGTCTGTGTGACCGCCCTGACGTCCTCGTTTCTGACTCTGTCGAGTCGTGTCCAGCCGCAGGCCCATCTCAGCATCCTCATTTCAGCTGAGTGGAGCTGCCTTTCATGGTTCTTGCAGATAGGCCAGCACTCACTGCCGTAGAGCATTGTAGGCCTTACACAGCCCGGTACACCTTGCCCTTGAGCGTTCTCGGACGAATGCGCCGGCAGAATATGCCAGTGGATTGGCTCCATTTTCATCCAGGCTGCGTTGTATTCGGGTCTTTCACCCGTCCACGCTGGCATACTGCTAAGGTTGCCCCCAGGTACTGGAAGTCCTCGACCCTTTCTATGCTCTCGCCATGGCAGTCTACGATGGGTTCGTTACCCTCTTCGGAGCTCAGAACTTGGTCTTCTTTGCGTTCAGCCCTAGTCATTCTCAGCGAGCACATCCTGCCACCGCTGCACCTTGTCCTGGAGTTCTTCCCTGCTGTCCGCTATCAAGGCGATGTCGTCAGCGTAGAGGATGGTTTTCAGTGGTCCCTCCATGAACGTTTTTTGCCCATGAACCTGCCAGCGGCCAGGAGATAATAACGGGCTAGGCTTGAATCCTTGTGTACCCAACCGTATAATGTTTATTACCCCTGAGATGCCTGCTTACTCCCCAGCACTTGCTTTTTCGTCATACCACTTTCGTAAACAACTTCAAAAAAAGCGGCTATTTAGAGTGTTTCTTGCGCATTTTCTCCCAGCTAGTGAGTCATATAAGGCCAGGAGATCCATATTTGAACCATATCACCCACATTGTGGACCAGCCATTGAATAGCCACGCACCTGACTCGATGTACGGCAATTTCGAAAAGATAGCTTGCGAGGATTGAGATAGGAATCAAAAACGAAGCTAGTTGAGTGTGATCGATTGGCCACCAAAAAATACATACAGGTCGCGTGTAGCTGCAACAAACGCAGGAATTATAACGCAAAAGAAGCGAAATCATCAAATGACCAGGGAAACAAAATGTCCGGGCGATGTGGTTGTTTTCGCTGAAGAAGCTGGGGCGTGTCAGGGGAGCTGGGTCTTTGGACTTGTCATCCCCTTTCAGTTGTTATCACGTTCTGTCACCTACCGTCGACATCCCCACCTCCCTCTCTATATCACTTGCTGGAATGAACGCCTAGATGATGGTTGTCCTGCGTTATGAATATAGTTACCTTTCCATTTTAATTCCCCTTATCAAATCTTATCAGCCAATATCACCCCCTGCCACCCACTAATATTGCTTCCTGTCCCATACCCTTTATCATCTCTTGGAACTAACGTCCCACTGTTGCTGTGACCCGCGCTATGGACTCGGTGTCCCTCCCTTTCTGACGCCTCTTATCAGATCTTATCAGCTGATATCATCCCCTGTCACCCACCAATGATGTTCCTGTCCCAGCCCGTTACCCAGCAATTTTTGTCGCTTGCCCGCTTTAACAATTATGGAGAATGGTTAGCGCTGCGCCGAACCCACCCCTTCCCCTGACACGCTCAGCGTCTGCAGCGAAAGCGATTGTATGTGTCGTAAAGCTCCTATGGATGAAGTCGATGAACCAGTCTGCGGCAGCGTTCAGAGCTCATGATGACGCGCGTCGACGCGCTGTAACGCGCTACAACTGCAACAGCGGTCGATTACTGTCTGCGGCTGCGTTCGCGTTTATAGCATGGGAGCGCTGTTGCAATTGTAGCGCGTCGTCGCGCGTCGACGGGCGTCACGGTGCGTCGACGCAAGTCATCGCGAAGTCTGAACGCTGCCTCGGGCGATTGTGTTCGAATACTAAAGGATTGTAAATAAGATCTCGTTCAGCGGCATCGCGCCCAAGCTAAGTTTCATCTGGGCTCGCGAAAAATCTGTTTTCAAAGCATATTTGTGAGCCGCCTGTTTCAAATTGCCTAATTCGGTTGTAGCAAGCTTAAAGCTTCATCCAACGGCGAAGCCACCCTTCACTCACAATAGCCGACTAGTCCTTACTTAGCTCACCTATCATGGCTGATGGGCGTCGAATCGTTGACATTACAAAGGCAACAAGCCATAGCTGAAACGTGCACGCGAAGCCTGCTATGGCAAGCAACATGGATGTGAATCTGAAATAAAAAATCGGATTTGTTCGGCTTGAGAGGGCATTTCGCATTCACGTTCAAACCAATTGGCCAAGGACTGTAGATAACTATAGGTCGCTGCCGAGGTTAACGGTTTTGTTAACCCTTTGTCCAGGCGGTGTCACAAAAGACTTCTTTTGCTATTGCAATCAACATGGCAAAGTAAGAGATTCACAAGGTCTCCACACAGAAGACAGTGGAGAGTCTCATGGAAAACCACTAAAATGCCCCACTATCTGCGCATAGACTTCTATAAAATGCGGTAAGCCTCACCAAAAGAAATCCTAGGCACGTACTACCTATGAGGAATTTTGAATTCAATACTAGAAGTACCTTGTCCACAAGCGTCATTAGGCAAACCGCTAATAGAAGATCCTTCGCAGTTCGCATCTTTTTGAGCTCTGACTTCCTGCCTCATCCAGTAAGAGTGGAATACTGGTGACGTCAAATTTTTTAGCGCGTGCAGTAGGTCCGCAGGGTTCTTGTATAAAATCCGGAGTCCACTTTGAATTTTGCATAAAATAATTCCAGTTCCCTAAGATCGCTTTCTATTATAAAGTGGCGTGGCTCCTAAAAAAAAAAAAAAAAAAAAAAAAAAAAAAAAAAAAAAAAAAAAAAAAAAAAAAAAAAAAAAAAAAAAAAAAAAAAAAAAAAAAAAAAAAAAAAAAAAAAAAAAAAAAAAAAAAAAAAAAAAAAAAAAAAAAAAAAAAAAAAAAAAAAAAAAAAAAAAAAAAAAAAAAAAAAAAAAAAAAAAAAAAAAAAAAAAAAAAAAAAAAAAAAAAAAAAAAAAAAAAAAAAAAAAAAAAAAAAAAAAAAAAAAAAAAAAAAAAAAAAAAAAAAAAAAAAAAAAAAAAAAAAAAAAAAAAAAAAAAAAAAAAAAAAAAAAAAAAAAAAAAAAAAAAAAAAGAAAAAAACGGAGAG